TTACAATATATTTATAATAATAAAAAAAGATTGTAGAAAGTTGCATTGAACTGTATGAAGTAGTCAAATGGAGCCAACAGTTTATCAGTTAATTTAGGAATCTAGGTAGTTTTGTTCAGCTTCATAGATGCCAAGAAACATCTAGAGAACATTATTACTGTAATTATCCAGTGATAAACAACAAAAATAAAAACGTACCCACACATATGGCTGCAATTCTGAATAGAAAGTCATGCTATGCGATAGTCCTAGCACACACACATTAACAACACCGATACACAGCAAGCAAGCTGAGGTAGTTGACTGTGCCAACCTGGCTGATAAGCACAGGTGGGGTTAATTGAAGGGCAGAGAGATAAATGGCTCCGTGAGCCTCACCTTTGGAGTTCTCGGGTCTCTTGCTTTCTGATGGTAGCACCAGGGTGCAGCTGCCTTAGCCAGTTCCCTGCTTCAGCTGACAAGGCTCACTTCCTGCAAGATATCCCTGAGAAGAAGCCACATGGACCTACCCCGATGCAGCCCTCGGTGCTGCAGCACCCGTGTGGAGACCCCTGCCAGCGCTGAGATGCTTACACGTTCACTGACTTGGCTTTCCTCCTGCAGTTGGCATCATTGCCTCTGTTTTGTGAGATGGAGGAGGACTTTGTGGATTGGTGTTGGACATATGGGTTAATGGGTTAATGTTGGACTTGTGGGCTTGGGCAGCACTGGTTTGGGATGTTTTCTTGATGCACACTTCACCGCTACACAACACTCTCTCTTATACATGAGTTTCTGTGGATTTGTTTCTCTAAAGCACCCAGACTAACACAAAAGCTGAACCAAATGTCTAATCACCATGGACTTTCAAGACACGGCACAATGAAGGCTGGAGGTGGAACACTGGTATCTACTTACCCCATGGCCTGAGCAGACTTTGCCCTTGGAATCAAGTGGGCAACTGCTCATATTCAGGGCCTGAATCTGTAGGCACTTCCGATCTAAACACATCATAGCTGGGCCACATGGGGTTCCATCTTCTACATAGCCCACATCTGTGTCATCATCTAAAACCACATGAGCACCACTAAAAGGGGGGGAAATGGTCACACAGCCATTAGAACCACGCTTTACTCTTCGAAGTCACAAGAAACCGAGAAGGTTGTTAGTGCACACGATTTCTCCCAGCACTCCCCCTCTTCTTTCCCTTCTCCCTTTTCCTCACTTGTGAGTAAAAGAGCACATCGAAGAAATGGATTCAACTTTCATTACTATTATTACAGTGCTTGTTATTAAATTCAAACACGAATGCTAAATTCTCACTTGTCTCCAAAACCCAACATGAGTAGGGGAGGAGTGATTGTATAAGAACAAAGAGAAGCAGACTTGTCATAAGTTCTTACGTGTTAGAAGACAGGTCACAAATAATTTCTTAAAGACATTGAGCAAAAACAACAAATACAAACATTTTGAGAGCTATTACTCTTACTTCAGAGAGCTTAATTATCCGTGACAGAGGAAGTAATGGCTCCGCTCTTTCTATTGAGTTTTTTACTTCCAACATTTTAAAGTTAGGGTCAACTTGAATTTGAATGACAATGGATGTCTAATTATGAATGGAGTGCCTTGTTGCTCACTTTACAAACACACAAGTTTAGAATAACAATAGGCTTTAACAGGAACACTCCATCTAAATCCATCCCCAAAGGAAGCTTAGGTGCTACAAGGAACCATCATTTCACTAAATTTGCTTCAAAATTATTCTTAGATTACATATAAGAATAAAAAATTCCAAAATATAAGCTCTTATGTGGTTTTAAATCTTAAATTCACTCATATAAAATAAAGGTTGGTCACTCTGGAGAAACTAAAAGTTACAGATGTGGGAGCTAAAGGACACTTCTGCAGGAGGAATTCAGAAGTGTTTGGACAATAATGGTACCACTGAATGGGAAAACAGCAGCCTAGAATTATGACGACTTTACAGAGCACTATGCTTACTTTTAAAATATGACTCCCGGACTTAAAACTTTATACTAGGAAACAGTTGGATAGAAAATGTTTTGTCTTATTGAAATAACATTTCAGTAAATATTCTTCATATCTGACTGGGTCTCCCCATCTTCTACACCAGATATATGCTATCTAAAGTAGAGGTCAAGGTCTTTTGGTCATAAAAATAAAACACGCACACGCTATTCTAAGAGTGCTAAGTTTTCATTCTCAGGGCTTTAATCGCTGAACACAGTAGAAACTCTATTCTGACTTTTAAGATTAACATGGGGTGGGGGGAAACCCTCACCAGTAAAATTATCAAACAAATTTTGGTCATTTGAAAATCACGACACAACTTTGTTTTCAAAAAGACTCTTCAACTTATGAGAGATTGATAATAACCTCTAATTTTCCTCATGTGAGAATGAGCAAGAATTCCCTTGGGTTTTGCTAAGCTTGTGATCCTTGGGGGGCATTCGGCTTTCTAACACTGGACATAGTACCTGCAGTCAATCACTCGGCCTTGATGGTAGAAGGAAGTGGGAATGATCTCCCCCTGAAGTTGACCAATCCGTGGTGCTCGAGTAAGATTGGTACAGAGTAGAAATCCACAGAACACGTCACTGAACATGTTTTTAAAAAGAGAAAGCACAGAGAATCAAGCTGAGAGCTTCAAAACTACTCAGTCCACAGTTATTTACAATTCAAATATATTATTCTCCTCTTAACACAAACAGTTTTCGAAGATAGTGTTGACTAGGACCCTCCCGCCTGTCTTGTTAACAGATTCCTGCGACATCAAAGTACTCAGCCCTGAGAGATAAATGATGACTAATGTCCAAACTCCTCATGGCGCTACCATTTCTAGACCAGAGGTCCTGGCCATGTTCCACCCCCTCGTCCGGAATGGAGAAGTAACCACTGTAGTCTAATTCCGGCAGAAGATAGAGAAAAAGCGAGCCAGGGAGTTGCTGGGGAGAATTCTGCTCTCTGGGTAAAGGCTTGCTGTTCTACTCTGGCTTCCTGCTTTAGACGCTAGGACCTTGCTTCCACCTTCCAGTCATGCGTCCCACACACGGAAGGGGAAACGCCCAGAGTAGGGGGTGGAAAGGGCCGTCTGGGGTCTTGGCAACATCGTGAAGTGAGTCACCCAACTCCAGTGCGCTAGTTCCGACCCGCCAGAATAGATCAAAGCAAGAAGTCTGGCGATGCCCCTTACTGGTGAGAACATGGTCCAACCCGACTTTCTTACCCTTGCTGACACACACGCATGTAACGGTGCATGCGTTTTGGAAAAGAGTGTGGCACCATCTGGTAACTAAAAAATACACTCTCCCCTTTGACACAGCCGTTCGTCTTTTAGGATGGGTCCTAGGAAAGCTTGCAGAAATGTTGACAATGTTTCTGAGGAAGTTCCCAACACACAGAGAATGCTTACAGCAGGAGGGTTGGGAAACGGCCAAACCGTGAAAACAAGGCAAATGTCCACCAACATAAAATACAGAAATAAATCGTGGTTTATTCATATGCATGCGAATGAACATGAACAGAGACAGCTACATAAAAATTCTTTAAAATGTGAACTTCAGAAGAAAGTCAAAATGACACACACATTAGGATTGCTTTTGTCTAAAGTTACAACAGGGTAGGACAAACCACATGACTTAGGGATGAAAACTTGGGTAATAAAACAAGGAATCAATTGGCACAAAAGTCAGGGCAGTGGTCCCTCCAGCAGCTACGTGTACCTGCCTGTTACTGCTGAGTGCTGGTGGGTCAGTTCCAACCCATAGCAGCCCCATATGACAGAGGAGGTCTGCCCCACAGGGGGGGTTTGGTCATGATTCTATGGCAAAGAAGCCCTGTTGGTGATGTTGGTAAGTAATGAACTATTAACTGCAAGGTCAGTTCAACCCATCAATTGCTCTGAGGGCTAACGAGGAGGCTCCCCACCCCCCATTAAAGATTTTCAATCTCAGAAACCCTCTGGAGGGTCGCTATGCGTCAGAATGGGCTCCAGGGCAGAAGGCTTGGGTCTGGTGGTGGTGGTTGTTAATGCGACAGAAGCAGATTGCTTGCTAGTTCTCCCACAAAACCACTGCGTGGCTTTGAACCACCAACCCTTGGGCTAACAGCAAAGCATTCACACATCACCCATTTTGCCACCAGACATCTTTCAAACATGCTTGAGTTGGAAGATTTTCAGAAAAAGACAAGTCTCCGACATAACTACTAGATGCCTAACTACATCAAAGGGTGGTAGGCTCATGAAATCATCCCAAAGATGTATTCTTTCACTTTGAATAGTCCCAGAAATATTTTTACAGAATCTATATATTTTGCCTATTAAACTCTCAGTATACAGTCCATTCAAGGACCGTCTTTCCTAACAATAAAGAAAATGAAAGCCTACTGTGTGGTCATCTTTTGGCCAGGGGTCACTTTAAAGCCATCACCACGTAAAACACAGCAGGCGAGAAGTTCTCACAACTGTACAAAACGTGTGTGCCATTGCTTAGCACACAGCTCCGTGGATGTTGGACAGACGAATGTGATTTTGAGAAATTTATTTAACATGTTTCAGTTGTCTGACATGTTTGTAAAGCAGCAGTAATTCTTCTGTGCCCATTTCAGCCTGCACCGGGTGGACCCTCGCTACTCACTGTTTGCTGCACTGGATCCAGCGGTCTCCATCCTTCCCGCAGTTTCCCTTCTCGGTGCCTTCTGTGTTCAACTTTTCGTAACAGAACTTATCAGACCCTGCAGCCTCTGGGGGAGACAGGCAGACGGAAGGTTTATTTTAGTTCTCTTTGTGATCCATCACTAGTAGCATGCTGCTAAATGTTTCACAACTGACGCTCCAGAAAGACAGAGAGAGAAAAAAGATCCTGATTTGTAGCACTTGCCACTTGCCACAGAGCAAATAAATATTCTGTGCTTGCCTCGAAGGTATCAGTGCGATGCCAAAAAAATTTTTTGCAAAATTCCTGAAAATGTAACAAGTGGTGCTGGCAAGCTGAGACAAGGGAGAGCTCACACAACATTTTTTTTTTTTTTAATGCAGAAAAACCAAATCAAACTCCTTTCCAATTCTGGTTGGCAAGGTGGAACGTGGGAGTGGGTATGGCCATCTGTATTAGCAATCAGTGAATTAACCTTAAAAGACTATTAAATCATAATTCTAATGTTCCTTAATTAATGAAGAGAAATATTATTCATCTGCTCTGAAAGTATATCATTTCCTGAGTAAACAGATCTCCCATATGTGCTGTTTTGGTTCATAATAAAGCTAATCAACATCATTAGTCCTGTTTTTTATCAGGAACTATTGTAAAGTCTTATTCTTTGGGGTGCCAGGTTGGGACTTGGGCTTCGATACTTAACCTTTTGGAAAGACAGACATGTCTCTATTTGCTCTTTGAACACTGAAGTGCCAAGTGGCGCTCTTATCAGTCCAGCGGTCTTTGTCTGACAGGAGCCCTGCTCTTCTTTTGTGTGCTTGCTCGTCATTTAGGGTAACCCAGCCTCAGTCAGCAATTTTGTCCCTCTTCCAGTTTGGCCCTGGTGAACTAACATTCACTGGAGAGGCAGCATAAATAGCAGGGAGCAATGGTATGTGTTACCTTGCATGGAATGTACTAAAAGTCATGTCATGACCATGTATTGAATCCCTAACTGTGCATGAGGTCATCTATTTGCTTCTTCACTTCAACTGGAGATAGCAAATTACCTAAATAAATAAATAAGTCTGGCACTTTCCTGGGAGAAAAGCACAAAGCTAATCTGGTGGGATCAATGATCCTCCTAAGGTGCATAGCAAGTGGTGCAAGTGACGGGGCAAGGAAGGTGACCACTGAACTCAACCCACTCTGCCCCAGTGGATAGCCACTGTCCCAGAAGGACCCTCGTCCATGTCTTCCTCTGGCCAAGGGTCCGACTGGAGCCGCTGTTTCCTGTAGGATTTGTGACAGAGCTTCATACTTTCATTTATCTAGCAGCCATCTCGAAGTTGGTCTCAAAACACAGCTTCGCGCTTAGCTGGGTATTTCTGGCACTAAGAGAGGCAGAGAAGACGGACAGGGCAAGAAGCCACACCTGAGTGTGGTCCCGGGACCTACTTGTTCCCCAGATGTACTGGCACTGGTTGTCCCGGCTCCTGCACTCCCCGTTGTAGCAGCGGCCCTGCGGCAAGAGGAGACAGCATCAGCGTTCCACGGCGTGTTCTCTGTTGAGCGGACCTTTCACTGTCCTTCTGGACAAGCACCTCGTTTTATTTCTTTAATTCCACACTTCAAGACTGTCATGTCAAAATAACAATTTATAAACCATCAAGGGCTCATGAGGGAGGGGGGAGCAGGGAGCGGGGAGGGAGGGGGAAAATGAGGACCTAATGCCGGGGATTTAAGTGGAGAGTAAATGTTTTGAGAATGATGAGGGCAATGACTGTACAAATGTGCTTTACACAATTGATGTGTGTATGGATTGGGATAAGAGTTGTACGAGCCCCTAATAAAATGATTTTTAAAAAAAAGACTGTCGTAGTGACTCAAAAGAATCAGACACATCTTAAGAGATGCACAAGAATAACACACGGATCATGTTGAAAATTCAGAACATTGACCTCATAGGACAATATTTTCAAATAAAATTAAAAAAGCCTCAAAACCCCATTGTCGTCTAAACATTTCTGACTGATAAGGACAGAGAAGAACTGCCCAGAGCTCTCAGGCAGAATCTTTACCATAGCAAATGATACTTCTTTCTCTCCTCGAGGGCTTGGTGGTTCAAACCTCGGACCTTGGCAGTTGAGAGTTAACACCTGCAACACTAAACTCAAGCCAAATTCACTGCCATGAAGTGGAGTTCTACTCATAGTGACCCTGTAGGACAGGGTAGAACTGCCCCTGTGGGTTTCTGAGACTGTAAGTCTTTACAGGAGTAGAAAGCCTCATCTTTTTCCCATGAATCAGCTGGTGGTTTCAAACTGCTAACATGTAACCCATTGTGCCGCCAAGGCTCCTTAGAGCCAACATAAAAAGCGCCCTCCCATCAAGTCGGTTCTGATTCCTGGTGACCCTCTAGGGCAGAGTCGAAGTGCCCCTTTGTGCGTCTGAGGCTGTAAATCGTTCAGAGTAGAAAATTTTCATCTTTCTGCTGAGGCGCTGCTGAAGTGGTAGCACTGGACATGCTATACTCTACTGACCAACTATGCAAGTCGCATCAACATTTTAATTCCTGGAAAGCAAAAGTTGGTGTATTTCTGGGTGATCTCAATCTGACTTTTAATCTTCTCTTCTGTGGGGCTAGTTAGGCCAGATCATGGCTTACACACAAAATGAACGAGCTCAAACCCGCACATTTGATCATGTTGTCATATTTACTCATAAGAGATCTACAGGTTGAAATTATGGGAAGATGACCACATCTCAACAAATGGGGTTCCTATTTCTCCAGCCAAGACTTGGTTCTCCTTTGCTTCAGTTCCACCTGGACAACTTATCGTCAGAGTTAAGTATCACCAGGTCATATTTGGTTTGACAAAGTAGCTTGGGATTAGAATATCGCTGCGATCACTTATTGCTGTTTGGGTTGTAATTTCCCTTCCAAGTTTTTTTTTATATTATTGATGAAAAAGAAAAATATTGAACCCATAGACAACTCTTTAAAACATATATCGCAGCATACCTGATTTTGATTGCATGCGTATCCATCTTGCTTATGAAGATTTGGTGGGCACTGAAAAATACAATCTTTTTAGTAAACCCTCAACAAATTCATTACTACCTGTGGATAAGGTATACAATAAACCTAAACCCACTGACATGGCATTGATTCTGACTCACAGAGACCCTATTTGGATTTCTGTGACTCTAGATCATTACCGGAGCAGACGGACTCATCCTGCTCCCGAGGTGAGGCGGACGAGTCTGAGCCACTCACCTTGCGTTCACAGTTCAATGCCTAGCCCACAGCACCGCTAGGGATCCTTCATGTGCATCACATGATGGAAATATGTACAAATGCTAACATGGTGGATATATCACAAGGCACATTTTTAAAAATAGGGTAAATTAATTCTGCTTTGTTAAACAGTCAAATACATTAGACCCATGCAGAGGACGCTTTTTCCACGTTTCCGTTTATCACAAGGAGGTCTAACAAATCAAATTCATTTGCCTACAGAGTTTAAAGTAGATGTATGGAAATGGACAATGCCAGAAACGCACCTGCTGGTCATGTAGGAGTGGACACATTCAGGAGTGGACACATTCAGGAGTGGACACATTCAGGAACTAACTCCGAAGACCTGTCCCAGCTCGATGCAAACGTTAAATCTGCGTCAACACCCATGACCCTCGGCTACAGTGGTTTTGTGTTTTAATCGATATAGATATTTACCATACCTACTTCACTGAAAAGCACTATCAAACTTCTGCCTTTCCACTCAGAGTGAATGCTGTACCTCCACTCTCCTTCTGCCTTCCTCAAACCACAGGCTTGTTACTAGAACAATTTGTGGAACAATGGTGATTTCCTTTTGTAGCTCCACTTGTGATACCATGTTTTAAAAGCACACATTATTTTCCCCAAAAGTTACCAGAGTAAGTTATTTTTTTTCTTTACTGTTTGCACCTAATTTACACACTGAAAAGAGCCACACACACACAAAAAAAGAGATGAGGCCTAGGGGTCTGCTACTATGTTAAAAGCAACTAGGAAAATGTAAACACGAGCTACAGATGCGATGAAGATAGTCTTCACCTATCCCTAGCCAAACTCCATGCCGTCCATTCCTTTCTGATCACAGTGACCCGAAATAACAGAGTGGAACGGCCCCTGTGGTTTCTGAGATGCTAACTCTTTACAGGACTAGAAAGCCTCATCTTTCTCCATCAGCATGGCTGGTAGATTCAAACTGCTGTCCTTGAGGTTGGTAGCCCAAGGAATAACCTCCCCAAGGCTCCTTCTACACCTATAGTAACTAGTAATAATTATTCACTTTTCCCAAAACAAAACCATCATCATAAACAGAAATGCTGCTAATAGGACAAGTACATCAGGGTCTTATGTAAATTTTTCATATTTCACTTTTGTGATGTTTCAGGAAGAAAAATAACACATGGCCATTTCAGTAATAAACATGGTACTTTAACCCCCAAATTTACTTTCTTTAATGGGGGCCTTGGAAGCCAAAATAGCTGGCAGTAGGTATATTCCACTTCAAGGAATTTACCTCAAAAATTCTTTGTGAAACACACACAGCAAACAAAAACAACAACAAAACTCCTATTATAAACCATCATAGCCACATGAGAGAAGATTTCTAAACAATATGTTTCTAGGTTTGGTTATTGATCACTGCAAGGTGTAACAAGGGAACGCATGCAATGTCTTGCATTCTCTGAAGGCGTTGAAGATAGAAGAGTACGTTCCCTGACCTGCACTTTATGCTGGATTCAGCCTCTCAATACCATCCCAGCCCTTGGTTTTATACTGTGCAAAATGGGTCACTGGAGTCATGCTCCAATACTGTAACAGGAGCTAACGGTGCTTGTTTTAATGGATTCTGGGTATTCCACCCATTAGGAGACTTTTCATAGCGCTAACGAAACCATCTCCCACATCTTTCAAAGGTACCTTCCGTGTATCATCCAAAATCATCTGCTGAGGATTTTCCTCAAGTGCCTATTTTTCAATTCTGTTCTAAAATATGAATTTAAAAAGCATCCTAGAGGCAGCAATAAATGCTAATGCTACAATTAAGTGGAAGCTTCTTGACGAGGTCAAGTCAGAATGTTGCCTGTAGATACTGAGTCTTGGAGATGCGGGATTATCAGTGATCCCAGTTCAACAATCAATCATTGTTAGTCTCCAGGGAACTCAAAGTTCACTGTCTCTGGGGCAGTCAAGGAGTATTCAGAGTTGGGTGCTAGCTACCTCTGCTCCAACTATCTATTCCAGGCTCTTTCTGGTCATATTGAGAAATTGTTAATATAAGAAACTACTATGCCAACATGCCACTGTGAAATGGATTTATCAAGATAATTTTCAGTGTAGGCACATGAGACAAAAATGAAACTTTCTCTTTAATTAGGCCACTGAACACTAGCTTGAGTATAGAACATGGAAAACAACAGCATCGTTTCCATCAAATTCTATGGCAATTGGTGAATTAAAGGATGCACTGGAACCATTACTTCTAAAGAGGTGAAATATGCAGAAACAAAACCACGTAGGATGGTACAAAAACATCAGTCTACAAAACGGAAAGTGCAACTCCATGAAGTGGGGTAGATCACGACTTTGAATGCACTTGTCACTAATCACAGCTCACAATTCTTAGACTGCCAATGCGTCACAGCCAAACTGAAAAGAAACCTGTTTATATACTGAATCTGAGAAACACATGGTTTTAAAGCATCACAAAAGAACCATCTGAGCATACTGAATGACCTCCTATCCTTAAGAGCAGGTCTCTTCAACTTGAACCCCAGAAAGTCCACATCATGAACTTTACAAGTTTAATGGGGAGCGTTTCCTGCTCTCTCCGCCTGTGTTTGCTCTCAGCGATGGGTCTCCATGTGGGTGTTCACTCTGCCCACTCTTTGCTCCTGCCCTCATTTCCAGCTCCGGGGGGTGGGTGACTGGTTGAGAAGCTTGGGAGAAACAACTGGGCGTTCTGGCTCCATTCTGCCGTTCTTTGACATGGGGCACGTCCACCTGCAGAGAGCATGCACACTCTCAGCGGCTTCACCGGCACAAGCAGCGCAAAACCGCGCCTCTGGAGGGAGAGGTGCCTCTGTCAGCAACCTATTAAAAATGCAAGCTGGAATACACAGGCGGCCCTTTTGATCTCATGCTAAGCATGGCCTTAAACCAGGTCATTTTCAGTAATAAAAGTGCTACTCTGACCACCACCTTTCCTCTCCTTATTGGGTGCTCCTTGGAGGCGATCATGGCTGGCGATGGGTAATCCCACTGCTTGCAATCGACCCTAGGAACGAACCCTGAACCCTTTTTAGAAGCACACAAAGATGGCCATTGTCACATTCATGACAGCAGTGAAAAGCTGCCAATGCTCTAAAGGCCCACCACTGCCTGGGGATAGACGTGCACTGATAACCCACAGGATGGCCTCTCACACGATCATAAAATAACGATATTTATAAGAATGCTAATCGTATAGGGAAATGCTTGTGAGTAGTGCTAGAATGAAAATGAAAGTAGGTTAAGATCCCAAATCCCTACCATGGACCCAAAATCCCTACCATCCCTACAAGTCCCTCTGCTCTAACGCCTGCCTCCCTCCTGGAGACACTTCCATTAGACGCCAGAATCCCAGCCATGGAGCCCAGGTCCTGAACTAGCTGCCCCTCTGCACTCACTGTCTCTGGATGGGTCATTCCTATCTCATTCCTGTCCCGACTTAATGGCTACTCTCTGGAAAGATGGACCTAAAGCCCCCACACCCACCCACCCCACACACCCACACATTCTTTTCACAGCGCTGTATTTTATGTCTAACATCTGTCACCAGCTGCTATTTCTGTTTACTTATTTGTCTGTCTATAGAAATAGAATGTAAGTTCTATAAGACTGCAGAAAACGAAACCAAACTCACTGGCATTGAGTCAATGCCAACTCATCGTGACCCTCAAGGTCAACGTAGAACGGCCCCTGTGGGTCTCTGAGGCTTTCAATCTTTAGATTTATTGGTTGAACAATGGAGTCTTTGGAACAGAATCCCATTGTAAATTGGGATCTACATGTAGTGGTTGACACATAGTAGGACATCACCAAATGTTTTTAAGACTTTATTTGACTAACAAATAATAACTTAAAACAATGATATAGTTAAAAATAATAATTATGTACAAAAAAAGATGTTAAAAGACAACACTGATAATGCTATGATGCCTATCTGCCAATTCACTGTCATCGAATTGATCCTGATTCCTAATGTTCGGACCCCTGAAGCAGGGCAGTGGGGAGAAGCTGAGGAAGGTGGGCTTAGGATCCAGTTTCTCTCAGAACAGCGCGGCTGCTTCCCTGCTTTCTACTTTTAATTTCCACTCAAATTTCTGTTTTAAAAGGGGGTTGTGACTTTACACTTTTGCAAACCGTTAACCAGCGCACACACACTGGTTTAAATGTGGGACCAAGAAGGAGAAACGCAGTTCTTTGTATTTAAATCAAATAAAGAGAACTAAGCATGGCGGGAAAGTGCGTGCAATGAACAACACTTTCCCAAAATGCTAGGATGAAGTCATCCAGAATTACTAGAAGACAAAACACAATAAAAAATAAATGGAACCAAAACACGTTCACAGAAGTAGTCCACATTGGAAACTTTAAGACGGGCTTATGCAGCGAGCCCTCAGTTTGCTCTACCTGGCCAGAGTCCCCAGTGCAGTACTCGGTGATGTCACAGCCATTCACGGCATCCCGGCAGTCATATCCTCGAGGCTGAAACTGCCAATCAAAAGTCGTGAGTTAGGGGCGAGTGTGACTATTCCAAGCAGTTAGCATGCACAGAGGCCCTAGTAATCCGTGTCTCATCTCACAATCACCACGAAATTCCTTATGAATTGGCAAGCTAGTTGCAGAATATAAACAGCCCCAGATGCGCAAAACATGAATCATCAAGCAAGACATTAAATGTTCAGATTTCAAAGCCTTGTCTCAAAATATCATTTTAGGGAGGAAAAAAAAAACCCTTAGCAATTAGTAAAGAAGAAACACTGGTTTGGTTTAATACAAAATACCAAAACACCACAATACAAATATTTAAGATCGCTTTAAAGATTGATGCCCACCTGCAATCTCTCCTAATTAATCTATAAGCCTGAATGTTAATCTTTCCTCTGAGAAATATGTAAGATCAAATTTTAATGAATTCATATAGGTTATCTAAGTGACATGAACAAATGCCTTCTGCATAGAGGCATTTTATTTGTCTGGGTAGGCCATATAGAATCGATGAAGGAAACAGCCCATTACATTCAAGCTATTTACAATCTAGTAAGACACACGAGGAAAGTATAAAGCTAAAACCTCAAGCTAAGCTAAAAAAAAAATCTAAGCTAAAATCTTCTAGACTATCATAATGTATAACACCTTTTGTTACTGAAGAAAATCATCAAATCGTGTACTTATGGTTACAAAGATGACTAGGTGTTTTATAGATCAGAAGGAGAGGCCTTAAAAAGATGGCTTTTCAGCCAGCAGAAAAGTGGGTGAGGTGAGATGGCAGTCGGTGTAAGACATAAAAAAAGAAGAAGAATTATAATTTATAAATTATCAAGGGGGCATGGGAGAGGGAGGGTGGGGGAGAGGGGAAATGAGGAGCTGATGCCAGGGGCTCAAGTAGAAAGAAAATGTTTTGAAAAAGATGATGACAACATATGTAAAGATGTGTTTGACAAAAGGGATATATGTATGGATTGTGATAAGAGCTTTAAGAGCCCCCAATAAAATAAAATAAAAATTAAAAAAACTAAACATTTATGGTACATTATCTAGTTTTGACTCTAATAAAAATGCTGAGGAAAACTTTAAAAAAAAAGAAGAAGATGGCTTTTCAAAAATCAACTAGAGGCCTCATGGGAAAATGGAAATGAAAGGTAATGGAATTTTCCCACAGACTTTTTCTGGCCCCTCATACATGTAAAGGGCGTGTGATGATGTGTTGGTGATCATTGTCATCGTGTTCTTTCTCACTTGTGGCAACGCCATGCGTTACAGAGAAGAACCACTCCTTAGGGCAGTGGTTCTCAGCCTGTGGGGGTCGAATGACCCTTTCACAGGGGTCACCCGATTCACAACAGTAGCAGAATTACAGAGATGAAGCAGCAACGACAATAATTTTATGGTTGGGGGGTCACCACAACATGAACTGTATTAAAGGGTCACGGCATGAGGAAGGTTGAGAACCACTGCCTTAGGGTCTCCTTAGCCACAGTTTTAACAGGAACCTATGGCCACGTGTTTTCTTCCCACGGTACTGATGGGTAGGTTCGAACTGCCAACCTTTAGGCTTGCAAAGGAATGTAAGATGTTTGCATCCACTAGGTTCCTGAACTGTCCGTAGACACGAAGATATATGACTTCCTTGTCCTCGCCTACGTGGGGAATTTAAATAGTCAAATATGAAAATGTGAGCAGTAGCTTTTGTGCACAAAGGGCCCTGGTGGCACAGCGGTTAAAGCACTTGGCTGCTGTGTTAGACAGGGTTCTCTAGAGAGACAAAACCAGATTGCTAATAATTTTATAAAGATAAATAGATATATAACACAAGAAATGAACAGTTAAATTATATACAGATAGATATATGATACAAGAAATAAACCGTTAAATTATAAAATAGTACAAATGGCTCAGTATAATTCAAACGTGTTAGAGAGTTGTGAAACACTGGCAGTCCTTTGAGTCTTCAGGGCCACCAGGTAGTCCTCTGTAGAGAGAGAGCTAGGCTATCTCGGCACAGCAACCAACTGTGAGCCAGGTCACCAACCGCCAGTCCCCAGCTCCAGAGATGTCTTAAAGGGACCTCAACTTACAGCAACACAGTCCACAGGCTAGGCATCCCACAGGTAGTGTAGCCTGTAAATTGAGGCACAGACCAAGCAAGGCAGCCGCACATTGGTCCGATGATCAAAGAACGAGAGACAAGAAAGGTGAGGCTCATCGAGCCATTTATTTCTATGCCCTTCAATTAATCCCACTTGTGTTTATCGGCCAGGCTGGCACAATAAACTAACTATCTCAGCTGCTAAGTGAAAGGTTGGTGTTTAGAACCCACCCGTTGCTCCACGGAAGAAAGGCCTGGCAGCCTGCTCCCATACATAGTGCTACCCTCGCGGGTACCTTGCGGGAGGGGGGGGGGTGCCCTTCTGCTTTGTCGGTAGGCAAGCTAGGTGTCACAATGGACTAGAGCACACAGCAACAACAACCACCACTTGTATGCTCAGATTCTAAAATATTATATTAGCATATTATAAAATAAAAACACTACCCTACTTCTACTGAACAGCTGCCATTGGTTTTCATCATTGTCCGTAGAGCAACTCTCAATGTTCATTTCGGAAGTGGTATGAGGCCATTGTCTTAAGAGCCGTTGTAGGAGAGAGGTATAGGATGCTGATGCTAAATGGCGCCATGGCAAAGATTGTGATACGCAGAAGGGGAGTGGACTCATTGGTCAAGCTGATACCAACAGTCGACCAACGAAGCCTTGACACCCTCCACAATGACTCGAGAATGCAGGTATTTGGCTTGTGGGGCAAATAAGAGAAAGACGGTACTGTGTCCGGCTACTTACAAGGCACGAGGTGTGGTTACAGCAGGGCCCGTCGCTGCAGTGGGCGCCATTGGACAGGGAGCACTTCTTACAGCACAGGGCATAGCATTCCTAGAGAGAACACTTGGTGTGAGCAAGCCAGGGATCTGTCCTGTGGGTCAGAGTCAGCCTTGTCTCCGCACGTGACTTACAAATCCTTAAACAAGGAGACTTCCACCAGGGAGTTTCAAAAAGTTCATAGAAAGATTGATTGAAAAGACAATGGAATTTTTCCACAAACGTTTTGAAGTCCTCAATCAAGAATTACTTAACTGGAGGTTTATTTTTTTTTTATCTGCCACAGTTTTCAGCAATGTACCATTTTCTAGGAGAGGGTTTCCCTAGTCAAGATTAAGCATCTCCCTTAGCAGACTTCCCACCACCCGATTAGCTCTGCTGTATACTCACTCCTCACTTATCCAAAAGGGTAGGCTCCAAAGAAAATATTGTTGGGTAAATATCAGCATAATGCGAAGATGGAGGATCAGCATGTCACCTCACCCTGCATTGTACCATGGACATCCTTCCAGGTCCCTGCTGAGGTCATGTGCCGCAGCTGCTTGCCCTCCCTCACGTTCCCTCAAGAGAACTTGGCATTCAGCTCTACCACCGAGGAAAGACTATCCAAGCTCCAAGAGGCAGGTTAGCCCAAGCATCACTCCCCTCTCCTTTCCTGGGATCCCCTTCCCTTGTTTGCCTTCACTGTATTTCCAGGATGATTGGCCCTGCCTCCTCCACTTTCAATCTCCCATGAAGACCGGCAGTCCACAGCTTCCTCAGATGCTGCGAGGGTCAAGCCTGGCCTCTGCTCTTGATCTTAAACTGGAGGTACCCAAGACCCACCAGACAGTGGCCAGTCCTTGTGGGTTTGCTCCAGTACCCTCAACCCTGCCTGGAACCCACGTGGCTTAGAGACGGCGCACCCTTTCTTCCCCTGCGCAGTGGAATGCTAGGCAATGGGAACTTCGTGTGTGTGCGTGCGCACATGAGCTACATTGGTGAGGGAGCTGAACAGGCATCACAGTCATATGTTAGATCGTTTACCATTGTTGTGAACATGAAATGTCAGGTAATGAGACAGTCGTTAAGTGGGGAGTGGGTGTAGGTAGGTTCTTCCTACCCAATCTAGCACTATAAATAAAAATAACATGTCAAGAATGCTTCAGGATTTGGTAAAAACTTGTCTGAGTTGACTACATGCTATAAAAAGTTTAAGAGGTAGATAATTCGATTAGAAGGATCTATGATTTTCTAGACAAGTCCCAAGGTACGTGACTAATATTAACGTATTTGAGCTGGAACTAAGCAATAATGAGAGAGACCATAAAGGAGACAAGATGACAATGAATGATAACATGGGGCCTCTCACTAATGCTATTCTTTTGCCTCCCTGTTCTGAATAAGAACTGTTCTGAAAGTAGAAGAGGTCTCTTATACCTACCACATGGAAACCACAATCGCACTCTTCCCCGGGTTCTACATATCCATTTCCACACTCGGTGGGTTCAAACAGCTGAAAGAGATTAGGGAGGGGCAGGAGAAACATTTGTCTTTATCACCAAAAATCAATACACCACCCTGGTCCCAGATGTGGTCCTCCAATCAGGTACCATACAATGTTCCTGTGATCTGCTGCCCTGGCGTCTTATCAATTATATCTGCTTGAGAAACACTGTTCATTTATTAATAGCACTTCTAAAAACTTCTGAAAAAACATATTTGAAATGGGGTAATATCTCTGGGGAAATCCCCTGGCGGCTGGCTTTAGAGACTTAAGCCAGCATTAGCATTGCTTTTTATGGAGATAAGCTGTCAAGAGAAATAGATCACTTTTCATATTTGCTAATGGAGCTAAAATGCATGCCTAATAAGACTCACAGACATCTAATTTGCTGACTCGTCTCAAGGCAGCTAAGAAGACATAAAAATGATCAAAAAGTTTAAGTTTTTTCACAGCTAAATGTAATATATACAATCAAGGGGAGGCAAATAAACTTGAATGTGTGGCTGGTAATCCTTGCCCATCATTCTCACCGAGTAGAAATCTGCACTGTCTGAAGCATGCTAACTAAATTTGTAGCTGTGTGCTCAGATGTCCATAACTCTCTCGGTCCTTAATGGAATTGTGCAAGAGTCAAATGTCTTGAATAAGCTATCATCCGGATGCGATGGACCTGCTTGTCAGGTAAACTGTATCTCAATCCAAGCGTTGAGACAGTTTACGAGAACCATTCTGATTCTCCCTCATCTAGGCAACCATGCCACCGAAATCCCAACCAAGTGCTTCAAGTCTCACACATGAAAGAGAGAAGTCACGTACATCCCCAACAGCGGTACATATCCCACAGGAGGGCTGGTCTCTGCCTGAGAAAGACCGAACCTGCCTTCCACTTACAGGAAGGGAAACACATCCCAGGAAGCACGGAAGATTTTCAAACAACTTCAGTGGGATCTCCTCTGTGAGCATCTAAGTTAAGTCAATAGTTCAAACCTCTGTGAGCTTCTGGCCATCAGGATGAAAGCAGAAAAGGGAGGGATAGACAGGACTAAAGCTTTCTCTCAGGCCTCTCATGCAACCAGCGCTCAGTTTCCTTTTTAGGACAACCCCTCCTTCAGTCTGAGGCGGGTCACAGTCTTAAAGCAGATGGAAAACATGGCAGTTGGGAAGGTTCTCAGAGCACAGAAAATATGCACCTAGATACCGTGTGAACAATACGTAACACATACACACGTACATGCAGTGACAAAAAACACTTGGAAGAATCATTCCTTCGCTATATAGAAGGAAAAAACAAAAAGTATAGCTACTCGGGTTGCAGTTCCTACAGGCAAACAAAGTATATTTAAGCATGTCTCTGCGACCAATGGCCAGCTACCGACAAATTCCCCGAGTAATACATTCTCTCAGGTCTCGTTAGGATGCCTTCAAAAATAAGGATCCTTTTGTGCTGAGGGGGAGCAAAAATACCAATTTTGAGGTCAGGGCTAATAGAAAATTTAAAACAAAACACAAGTGGAGACGAGGTGCAATCAGTTCATGTCCTTTCTGGCCACAATTCTTCATATGATGTATCCTAGTTCTGGACTCTGCCTGTGGCTAGGGTTTCATTTGGAGAGAGTCCTCAGCTACAGGATTGCGGTGGGGTGATGGCCGTGATGTAGTAGAGGGTGTGAACCAAATGACACCCTTCGCTTTCTTAGAGGCGTCTTTAAGACACCATCCTTTGTTTTCCTTGGAGGTGTGGTTGTCAGAAGACAAACACCATGTCTCCTTCAAAGCCACTCGTAAGTATGTAAGAGTCATCTGGGGCACAGAGAGAAATCCTAGAAGAGTGTGTCCAAGCTCTCCATCTGAAGGGGTGGAGGCTGCCGTGACAGGGGCGCAAAGAGCAGCGTGGAGACAACAGGGCATCTTTGCCTCATCTGGCCTGAGACCAGGAGACTGTGGGACAGAGTGGCAGGCAGGCTGGCTTCCTGGCCCACAGAGGGAGAAGAGATGAGAGGCTGAGGACCAGAAAGAGGCTCGGTGTCATATGATGGAAGTGCTGCTGTGGATGAATGACTTTGTCCTTACTCTTTACTGATCCTGACTTGCGGTAACCTAGTAGCTTCCCTGATAAAGCCCCTTAATTGTCAGTATTGCCTGTGAGTTCTGTGTGGCCATTGCCATGAATTATTGGAACCATCACTGATGTAGCGAGGCGTGGGAGGAGCGGTTGCTGTCAGAATAGAGAGGGGTGGACTGTGGGGGCAAGTCTGGCCCTGCCTCATGGACAGAGGGAAGCCAGCAGAGGTCAGCTATGCCCAGCCTCTTCTCCCCTGTCCCTACCATAGTATTTCCTACAGCTATCACCGAAGCTTTGTGGCGTTTTTAGATGAATCCATCATTTTGAAGGAAGGTCAGGAAGATCTCAAAAAATAAGCCAAGGCAGGGAAGACCACCAACCTCAACAAATGAAAAACCTGTAACTGAAGTCCACAAACGGGGGGTGTTCTATAGAATCGCCATTGACGAGGGAGTCACTGAAGCTAGACTCCTGCAAGCCTCAGCATTTTCATGGTGCAGCCTGTGACTGAATGGATGGCAAAACCATACTGCAATTATCAGTCCTTGCAGCAAGATCGAAGCTAAGGAGGAGGATTTTACAAGATGAATCCTAACTGAGGACAAATCTTGGATTTACTAATACTATCTAGAGAGCAGGGGCCAACCAAGTCAGTGGCTTCTAAGGGGCCCTGCTGGGCTAACTGCAAAGCCGGGAAGTCAGCTCCGAAATTACGGAAACTGCTTTTTGGGGGGGACTCCCACGGAAAAATTGACATGTTTCCTTGAAGGACACAGGATAATTACCGGAACTTATAATGAAGACGGTTTAAGAAAATGGAAAATTGTATTAGTGAGGAAACAGTTGGGAACATTGTGTTGAGAAATTGTTTTCCATCAGGACAAGGCACCTGCTCATCCTTCAAGAGCAGCCATGCGTTCCCGTGAGAATTTCATTGAGGAACCCTGGCCCTACCCACCTTATTGATCTTGCCCCTTCAGACTTCTTTTTGTTTACAACACCCAAAAGGTATTTAAAAGGAACATGCCCTCGAGATGCCCCAACTGCCTCTGACATGTTGTAAATCTAACAGCGGAGAATTTGTTAGGGAGTAATTTGAGAGGTGGGAACACCACCTTCAGAAGTCCACAGACCTAGATGGAGGTATGGTGAGAAACAATGGCTTCCCATTTGGATATTTTTGTTGAATTCGGGTTTTCAGGATGACTAGTGGGGCTGCAAACCACAAAGCCAGCAGTTTAAAACCAGCGGGAGCTCCGAGGGAGAAGGATG